CAGCTCACTGATTGGAAGCTTTTTTTCTAATATTTAACCTAATTAATGAACATGGTTCCCATTAGCTAACTAACCTTTATAGCATCATGGAAGCTTGGGGAGTGTTATTCACATTTTACTGGTGGGGAAAATGAGACATAGAGAGGTTAAGGGCATTATTTGCTAACTGCCAAACATCTGCAACTCTCTTTGCCATCAACAGATGAACCTAGCCATCAGTGTCCCCCTAAGCACTGGCAGATTTTCAGGGTACTTTCCAATGTATTTTTCTTTTATCTGATTGTCTGTCTTTCGTCTGCCTGCAGATGTCCTAATGTCCCTGTAAATCCAACTGGAAATCTCCTGAGGTTGGGGGGCAGGGATCCCTTGAATTGAAAAGCTTCCTTCTGCCACAGTTCCCTGCTCCCCCTGCCCTCCACCACTGTTCCCTGAAGATGGCATCTGACAGCCCAGAGTCGCTGATGACATTATGCACAGACTACTGCCTCCGCAACCTGGAGGGGACCCTCTGCTACCTACTGGACAATGAGACTCTCCGGCTTCACCCCGATGTCTTCCTGCCGAGTGAGATCTGTGACAAGCTCGTCAATGAGTACGTGATTGACTTGTGTGGGTGCTGCTGTCCATCGGGGATGGTAGCTGGGGGAAGAAGCCAGGACTCGAGGGGAGGGATGCATACACTTTACACTTATTTCTTCTTGAGTCTTACATTAGAAATGTAGCTTTTGCCTAGCTTGTTTTTCCTGGAAAGCTCTATGGTTGACAGGAGAACTAGTAGGGGTGTGCCCTTACAGGCCCCACGGCTGGGAAAGCTGATAGAGGGAAAGAGATCTATGTTTATACAGCACCCACCACAATGGGGTCCTGGTCTATCCCATTTTCTGGTCCTCCAGGGAGAGCTCCAAAAAAATCAGAAAGATTTTGTAGCTTAGAAAAAGTAGGGTGGAAAGAGAGGGGAAATGTTTTTTTAAATTGAAAAATTCAAATCTCAGGATGGAAAATAAACCGTGTTACCTCTCATGTAGGTATGTGGAGCTGGTGAATGCAGACAGCATCTTTGAACCCCATGAGAGCTTCTTCACCCTGTTCTCAGATCCTCGGAGCACCAGGCTAGCCCGAATCCATTTGCGGGAGGACGTAGTGCAGGACCAGGACCTGGAAGCCATCAGAAAGCAGGTGGTATTGTATTTATGTCTTCCTGGCTGTCACTCTGCAGCAGCCCACAGCAGAAACCACTCACAACTCTCAGGCAGAACCATAGATTACTTGTACTTTTTACCTGCTTTATCAGAATCCTAGCTGTGGGGGAACTTGAGGCTTCTCCATCCCAGCCTTTCCCAGCAGGAGTTGCTGTAGGGAATGGAGTGGGAGCACTGACTGTGTGGGAGCTCAGAGTACTCTAGTCCTAGTCACTCCCAGCAGGAGTCACTGTAGGGAACGGTGTGGAAACGCTGGCTGTGTGAGAGCTGAGTACTCCAGACCCGGCCTTTCCGAGCAGGAGTTGCTGTAGGGACTGGGGTAGGAAAACTGACAGTGAAGTAGTTCTAATATTTTGGCTTCCTGCCTTCCAGGACCTTGTTGAGCTGTCCCTGATTAACTGTGAGAAGCTGACAGCCAAGAGCCTGCAGACCCTGCTGAGCTTCAGCCACACTCTAGTTTCTCTCAGCCTCTTTGGCTGCAGTAATCTCTTCTACGAGGAAGAGAACCCAGGAGGCTGTGAAGATGACTGCCTGGTGAACCCCACTCGCCAGGTCTTGGTCAAGGACTTTACCTTCGAGGGCTTCAGCCGCCTGCGCTTCCTGAACCTGGGCCGTATGACTGAGGGGGTGAACGTGGAGACATTGCTTCGACCTTTGGCCTCCCTCACTGCCCTGGATCTCTCTGGGATCCAGCTCAATGATGTGGCATTTCTGACCCAGTGGAAGGACAGTCTGGTTTCCTTAGTGCTTTACAACATGGACCTTTCAGAGGAGCACATCCAAGTGATCTCACAGCTCCGCAAGCTCAGGTCAGCAGATGCCTCCCTCCTCACTCGTTCTTTCTCCACTGGGAGTTGCAGGTGCTCAGAGATGCTCAGGATTGAGGATTAATTTTCCGAGAGCATTTTCCCCATCCCAGGTTTTAGGTTTGTGGTGGTGGAAGAACAGAGCTTTCCCTCAAAAGCACTTGATCATTCACTCCCTTTGCAGCCCAAAGCCCTTGCTGAAGCCCGTAGAGGTTTTTCCTGCATGAGGACAGCAAGATCAAGTACTCAGAGGGGGCTCCCTATTTTTCTACCTGATCCTCAGTCAAAATTACTCCTGGTCTGTGGGGACATTTGGATGCTGGTATCACAGCAATAATTGCAGTGTGAAACCAGAACTGACTCCCACAAGTTGCTTATCGAATGAGGAAGTCCAATGTTTAAGCCTGGCTCACAGATAAGAGAAAAACTTAGCACTCAGTGGTTGGTTTGAAACATCTGATCACCGAGCACCACCAAAGCCCATTGAATGTGAAATAAGCAGCAGACCTTATTGCTCTGAGCACAGAGTTAGGGAAAGAGGATGATCCAGGAAACAATGTCATCCAAAGCAAATAGGCACCCCTGGTCTAGCAGTGAGAATTAGTGCTGTCACGTGACTCCATCGCTGCAAACAGCGAGCACCACAGCCACCAGCGAAACTGCACATTTGGTACCAGGAAGAGAATGCAGGATTTTCTGGTCCAAATCCACAGGGTTTTACCATTCGAATTAAAGGAGCCTGTTCACCAGTCTTATCATTTATAGTCTCTGTGGTTACTAGGGGGCTCCATGTTCATACACGTTAGACGTGTCAGAAAAGCACCAGAGGTAAAATTTTCAAAAGCATCCAAGTGACTTAGGAGCTAAGTCCCATTTTTAAAGTGATGTAAACTCCTAAGTCCCCCTGATTTTTGTTGACTTCAACTCTTAAGTGCCCAAATCACTTTAAAAATGGGACTTAGGCTCCTAAGTCACATATGCCCTTTAGAAAATTCCAACCTATGTGTCTTTAATCACTAATGTGCAACCCAGTCCCTCTCTATCTCTCACACATTCTAGTAGGAACATACCTGACCATCTGTCCAGTAGGGGGTACCAGAGCCACCACATGCCCCCTGTGGGTAGCAGTTGTACTGAGGAAGTGTATTACTATTATTACATGGTTTATTAACTTAATTTTCTGTTGTGTTTTTCATATAACATCAAACATTTAAAACTATAGGACAATGGTGCTGGTGTAATAGAGATTATTAAGATCTCTGTACAGTGTCATGGATACAACAATATCCAGTCTGGAAAAGAAAGAGACAAAGGGAGGAATCAGAGAGCTTCTATCATTAATTTTGGGAGATGAGGTAACACACCTTTCTGGGGATGAGAAGATCTTCTGGTGCAATTTGATCCCCAGGTAGAAGATATGTAGCCAGTTCCATGGTTAGAGAAATGATCAGATGCCTGTTTATGATGAAGACTGGGAAGGTAGGTTGCTCAGCCTACAGTAGTTGCCATTCTGATCATTTAGCTGAGTAATTCTTTAAACTCCATTCTGGACAGGCCCCCACCAGGGATCTGTTGGTGTATAATCCAAGGGTACTGCGTGCACTTAGGTTATACACAGGACTCCATCCTGCTGCTAGTTTCACAGAGTCACATCCCTGTATCTTGGAAATTCAGCAGTTGTGCTTGTGAATGGTCTCTGCAGGGCTGGGTTTGACCTGAAAGGATGGGGGGAAGCCCCACTTGATGCTCTCCAGACTCTGAGATGCTTGCTCTCATTTTCAGGCACTTGGATATTTCCCGAGACCGCCTGTCCAGTTATTACAAATTCAAGCTGACCCGGCGGGTGCTGAGCCTGTTTGTGGATAACCTGGTAGACCTCTCCTCGCTAGATATCTCAGGGCACACCATGCTGGAGAACTGCACCATCTCAAGCATTGAGGAGAAAGTGGGTCAGATAAGGTAAGGCTAGAAGGCCAGGCAGGGATGGAGGTCGCTGTGGATCTGTGGGAGGGGAGATTTCATTGAAAGCGGCAGGAAGGACAAATCTCTCTCTTGGCCTCTCTCCAAGTGGGATTGATTACCATGGATGAGGGCGTCAGAATAGTCATTAATTAGCCTTACCTGGCTTTCATTCACATCCACATAGGTTTTGCAGCTGTCCTTTTCCTTATACATTACCCGCTTACTGACAGCTGTAAAAATAGTTTATATATCATCCACTTCCCTCCAAAACTACCACAAAGCCCTCCACAGACTGTACTCAAAGTGGTTTGAGCATTGGCCTGCTAAACCCAGGGTTGTGAGTTCAATCCTTGAGGGAGCCACTTAGGGATCTGGGGCAAAAATCTGTCTGGGGATTGGTCCTGCTTTGAGCAGGGGGTTGGACTAGATAACCTCCTGAGGTCCCTTCCAACCCTGATATTCTATGACCTCTTGTCCACCACTGAAATGCAGTGAGTTCTGGGGAGGAGCACAGCAGCCTTCCTGCATCAGCTTCACTACACAACAGTTTTCAGAAGTGTTAGCAAAGAATTACTTCTGCAGTTGAAATGACTGGAGCTGGAATTACAGTGCTAATATTGAGATTTGTCAATACCACACCCAGTGAGAGCCTAACTTCCTTAGGCCCCTTTGAAAATCCCAACCAGCATCTACAGGGACCACTCTTAGCTCTCATTCCAAATCAGCCAGGAATTTTTCCCTCCCATATTCTGAGCTGTTACAGTGTGAAAGCAAAACTGCTATGCTGCAGCACTGGCTTCTTTACAGAATTCATGGAAAACATAGGCTGTAGATCTTCAAGGAATACAGCGGTGATGGAGCAATCACTGTTGATAGTGTTCTAAGTCAATACCGACCCAATGCTTCATTGTAATGAGAGGGGTGTTGAGCTGATGGCGGTCCTTCAGAGGAGACATAAAATCAGGTTTCTGACTAATTATGATCATTAGAAATCCCATGGTCCTTTTTATAACCATCAGTTGTTCCCCTGCTGTCCTAACCAAACTTGGGTAACTATAGTCTCCCTGCCTGAATTCCTATTGTCATTTCTGTTGGACACATTCACTTCTTGTGTAGAACAGTAAGGATCATCTGTGATGAAAGGTCCCATCAAGGAGTATGATGCGATTATCTTTAAGAAACCCTTACTGGGATTTTGATGGGATATGACTGAATTTAGACCCAGCTGCTCTGGCTTGTTGTGAAGTGTAATCAGAGCAGCAGGGAGCTCTGTAACTATCTCTGTGGTGGAGGGAGCTGAATAAGCAGAGCTCACACATGGATGATCTCTTCTTTTCCCAGCATTGAGCCATCAAAGAGCAGCATTGCCCCCTTCAGGGATCTGAAACGACCGCTTCAGTTCCTGGGCCTCTTTGAGACCTCTCTTTGTCGTCTGACGCATATTCCAGCCTACAAGGTAAAGGGCCAGTGGGAAAAGTCTCAAAAAGGGTCTGAAGTTAGAGAGTCTGCCAGCTTATCAGAGCTCTCAGGCTCTGTGGAAGTGATACATGTGCCTTTTGAACTATGGGTCCCCCAGCTGGAAGAATGCTGCAGTGGTGCAAGGTCCCTACCCTATGCAGTGTTTGTGAGGGGAAAAAACAGCCGTTTAGAAAGGAGCCTGGTAAAGACACACATGCACCCGTCCCTGTCCATTCCCCACCCTGCTTGTAGCACAAAGGACACTCGACAACGGGTGTCTGAGGCTTAAGAAGAAGGAGCCATGCATAACCCTGCAAAGAGATACCACCCTGCCCTGCAGGGACCACTTCCTGCAGGGTTGAGCTGAGAGGTAACTCAGCCTGTGCGCTGATATCTTGGGCCTCATCAGAATGAATCCTGCTAGCAATATAGAAAGGGGCTGAGAGAGTGCATGCACCATTTGAGCTGCCACCTACAGACTCCTCTCCCTGCGGATCTCCCATTCTCTTGCTGGCCTTTCTCCTGAACAACCCCCCCTCTTGCTGGTCTCTTCCTCCCTGGACATGATTTTTTTTCCTTTCCTTGCTGCCAGGTGAGTGGGGACAAGAATGAAGAGCAGGTGCTGAACGCTATCGAGGCATACACTGAACACCGGCCCGAAATCACGTCCCGGGCCATCAATCTCCTTTTTGATATCGCCCGCATCGAGCGCTGCAACCAGCTGTTGAGAGCACTGCAGGTGAGCACACAGGGACTTACCCACAGGCCGTGCTCACCTCCCTTGAGCACAGTCAGATTTAGGGGGAGGGGAATTTTACCGCACAAAAATCAAACCTTTCCCCATGACTTAGGGCTTGATCCAAAGCCCATTAAAGTCAATGGAAAGACTCCCATTTCCTTTGGCTTCAATGGGGTTTGGATCAGGCTCCTAAAGAGGAAGTTCCAGTAGCATGATGGAAATCGGGTCCTTGATTTTAGGAGGTGTCTTATGATCTCATTGAGCAGCCTATTCCAGCTGTGCCTTGGGCTCCTTGTCCCTGGAGTGCTTGTATTGGTCTTTGCCTGCGTAGGGGTAACGGTTACATGGGGGCCCAGCTGGGCACTGAATGGCACTAAAACTCCCATTGTTTCTTTGTAGCTGGTGATCACAGCTCTCAAGTGTCACAAGTACGATAAGAACATCCAGGTGACTGGGAGTGCAGCCCTTTTCTACCTAACGAATTCAGAGTATCGGATGGAGCAGAGCGTGAAGCTGCGGCGTCAGGTGATCCAGGTGGTGCTGAATGGCATGGAGTCTTACCAGGAAGTGACAGTAAGAGCTCAGTCAAACTTCACCCTGCTCTCACTGTTCTCCCTCTTCCCCTCCTCCCAGTAAAAGGCCAGTTCCAGTACTTTGTACCTTCTGGGCGCTTTGAACCTATTGAATGTGTACCACGGCATGCCCTAGAGAAGCCATTGCCTATATCTGGTCATGCATTCACTTTATGGGTGGGTGCAATTTTATGTGGGATGTATTGGTGACGTAGTTCAGTAGTAATACGGGGGAAGAAAGAGGCGATCATGGTGCCCGTGTATTTGTGGCAAAGGTGACTGGCTTTGGATTGCATGTGGAGCATGCAGGTGGTGGGGCTGGGTAGCAGATGGAGAGTGTGCATGCAGTGAGAGGGTTGAGCTGTAGGCTGGTGAAGCTATTGTGTGGGGAGTGCATGTGCAGCATGGTGTTGGGTTGGAGGGTGATGCATGTGTATGTGGTGTTTGTGTTGAGATGGAAGATAGTGACAATGGTTCATGTGCTATGGGGTTTTGCACATACTTGTAGGATGGTCCATCATGTCAGCATACCCTAACCTTGCTCTGCTTCCCCCCCGTAGGTGCAGCGGAACTGCTGCCTGACACTGTGTAACTTCAGCATCCCAGAGGAGCTGGAATTCCAGTACCGTCGTGTCAACGAGCTGCTGCTGAACATCCTCAACCCTACTCGGCAGGACGAGTCCATCCAGCGCATCGCTGTACACCTCTGCAATGCCTTGGTCTGCCAAGTGGACAACGACCATAAGGAGGCTGTGGGCAAGATGGGGTTTGTCATGGTTGGTATGGTCCCAGGATGGCTGCTAATCCCTACCCCAGACTGGGCTTGAGTCCCTTGGGAAAGTACTTTCTATGACTTCCATTGGAAGTGTCCGTGGAGTAGGTCCAGTAAATAATCCAGTGTCACAGAAAAGTATTGCAGTCAGGGAAAGCTAGAGTCTTAGCAGTGTTGTCCTATCACGGAATCCACCATCCTCAAGCTGAGCCCCTTGAAAACATGCCAGCAGGGGAAGTCGTTACTTCCTTGATGTGCTATTAGAGGTAGTGTCTGTTTGAGGGCAGGGGAGGCAGCGTGATCTCAACACAAGGCCAGGAGTCACGACTCCTGAGTTCTAATCTTGGCTCTGCTACAAATTTATTGTGTGGCCTTGGGTAAGCCCCATAACCTCTCTGTGCCAGTCTCTCCATCAGGAGAAGGCAGACCGTCCCAAAGAAAAGTAATGTTGAATGGGGAGGGCTTCACACTGAGCAGTAGTGTTTTCCTCCTAGAAACATAAAAAAATAGTTGTCTCTGCAACTAGCACAATCCTCTTGGTAACAAGGTATGGGTTTTCCTTTGGACATGTCTGAGTAACAACCTTGCCCCTGCTTTAGGATACACAATGGCCCAGCAGGTCAGGAAGGCTCTCCTGCCTCTCCAGAGGTAGGAAAAGCTGCTGCCCATTTGGAGATAATAAAATCTGCAGAACCTTTCCATTGGGGTTACTGCATGGACAGCACCTCCAGTGTGCCAAGAGTCAGACCTCCCTTCACACCTTCAATTACATAAGATTGAGTGGACACGTTTCTTTGTCTCACTTGACAGACAACACTGTCCAAGTAATGGACCAGAAGTTGTGCATGTGGGTGTATGTACAGTTTTGGAGGGTTTCCAAGTCCCTCTACAGGAAGTCACTCTGCTCATTTTTTGACATAACCATAATCTCTTCCTGGCTTCAACTTCCTGCCTCACATTCCAGTTCCTTATCCTCCCGTTCAAGACTCTGCTCGAGTCCTCTCCCATACCTCTGCCCTCATTTCCTCCAACAAAATTTCCTATGCCCCAAGCTCTTCTCTGTCTTTCCTTTGGTCTCCTTCACCCACTCTTGACTTCATGGCTCCTTCCATCCTCCCCCTTGAGTTTGCAACAGCCTCCCAGTTAAAGTCCACTAACTTCTGAGGTCCCATCTTTTTCATGAAGCTATAAAGAGCATACACCACACTATTTATTTCTCACTGGGCTGTTCTGTACTAAACTCTGCCTTTTTGTGCTGTTAGCCAGGGACCTGTTATCTGGATGGTACAGGTCATCTGTCCTAGTGTGCTGTGTGAACCAGTGGAATCATTGTTTATACAGTGCCATTGAACCAGAGAAAATAACACTAAACTTGGAAGAGATGGGAGGGGTGTTTACACCTTGTGAATCAGGTTCCATATGCATAGAGCCAAATCCAATCTATGAGTAAGCATAACTGCCATTGACTTCAGTGAGAGCTGTGCCAGACTATGTCAGGGTTGAGTTTGATGTACAGTCTTTATTTTAATCTCTGTGATTCCTGGCATGTTCCCAGACCTGCTCTTACGCTTCTCATTCCCTCTTCTCTCTGCCCACAGACCATGCTAAAGCTGATTCAGAAGAAGCTGGTGGATAAAACAGTAAGTGTTTCTTCTTAAAATCTGTAAGCAAAATATACTCCATTTATATTCACTCTAACCCTGAGGTGGAGAGGTCAGCCCAGGAGTGCTAGGAATCCATTCACATTGCACAAGCAATTTTCCAGGTGTCCCCAGAGGCTCGTGGGGACTTGGCTCCTCTGAATAAAATGGATAATGGTAATGTTTGTGTTGGTGGGTCTGAACTGAATAAAAACTGGTCCCTTCCGAGGTGACAGCAGTTCCCCATCCTTCAGATTAGTTTGCATTGGGCTCCTGTATTACAGGCGCTCTGTCTGCAGTTGCCCATGTCACATACTTCCTTCCACTGTGTTTTACCGTCTCCTTCCCTCTGGCTCGACAGTGTGATCAGGTGATGGAGTTCTCCTGGAGTGCCCTGTGGAATATCACAGACGAAACCCCCGATAACTGTGAGATGTTTCTCAACTATAGTGGCATGAAGCTCTTCCTGGAGTGCCTGAAAGTAAGTACTGCCCAGTATCCTCTACACCAGAGGTTCCCAAACTCTTCTTATTGCGTATCCCCTTCCAGATCTACCAGCTACCCGCATATCCCTACCCTTCTCATCGCTGAGATTTTGTGTGCTCTTCTTAACACTACCTGTCTTTAGCCATTTGTCCTTATTTCACTGTTACGTATAGTTATAGTGTGACATGTACAACTGAAAAAAACCCTGACTAAGTTCTGAGCTCAGTTAGACTGGAAAGTTGCTGGGCAACTGAACCTGCGCTGTATGGTGATTGGAGCTGAGGGTTCTGTAAATCAGCATCTCTGTGTTTCTGTATTCTCATTGGTACATCTTGAAGTAAGTTAACTACCGTATTTTATATAACAAATTCCCACAGAGTTTTAAAGCTTCGTCTGAGTAGCCTATTATGAAAATGCAATAAATAAAATAATTAATTAATAAAATCCACCATTACACAATTTCTCACGAGTAGCCCCCAGAGATATGGTACGCATACCACAGTTTGGGAACCCCTGCTCCATTTCTGACTGTTGGGAAATAGTCTGCCTTCCTGGATTTGCTGCATCATCAGTCACAATGGTCATACTTTTGTTTTACACATGTTCCTTGTTTCCTCAGGAGTTCCCAGAGAAGCAGGAGCTGCACCGTAACATGTTGGGGCTTCTGGGAAATGTGGCGGAGGTAAAAGAGCTCCGCCCACAGCTCATGACCTCCCAGTTCATCAGTGTGTTCAGGTTGGTGCATCACTGATCAAGAAGCAGTATGGTCTAATGGTTAGAGCTGTGGACTGTGAGACAGGAGACCTGGCTGCTCTTCCTGACTGCCATTGAGTCAGTGTGTGACGTAGGACAGTCATTTAATATTTGTGCATCAGTTGCCCCCACCCTGTTAAACAGAACAAAAGAAGGATAGTGGAACTCGCCCAGTTTGTAAAGTGCTTTGGAATCTTCAGAGGATGGCTGCAATCTAAATACAAAGTATGATCAATAAAACCAGTTTGGGAAGCTGGTGTTTGTCAAGCGGTTTTGCATAGGTTGCTGTGTCCAGTCCAGTTAGGAGATTATGACTTATCTGATGAGCTCTGGTTAGAGTTCACGGGGCAGCACTGTTTGCATACTAAGTTTTTTGTCCCTGATGTGCTACATAAGGCTAACCTGGCACCTCTGAAATCTTATCTTCTATCTTGGCAGCAACCTGTTGGAGAGCAAAGCAGATGGGATTGAGGTATCTTACAATGCATGTGGGGTTCTCTCCCACATTATGTTTGATGGCCCAGAGGCTTGGGGTATCTGTGAGCCACGCCGAGAGGAAGTAGTAGACAGGATGTGGGCAGCCATCCAGAGCTGGGACATTAACTCCAGAAGAAATATCAATTACAGGTGAGGGATGTTGGATCTTGGCCCATTTATTCCAGGAGTGAGGATTGTCCCAAGAAGTAACCTCAAGCACGCTGAAGTCTGCAAGAAAGGTGGAGATTTAATCAAGTGTAGAACTTCTCCTTGGGGTGAGGAAGAAATTTCCCACATGGACATACCATTTTAGATGGGGTTTTTCAACTTCCTTTGAAGCATGTGGTACTGGCCACAGTTGGAGATTAGAGGGACCATTGGTCTAATCTGGACAGGCAACTGCTACACTTCTAAGTAGAATACGGAGAAAATTAAAATAGTCTGTATCCCTAGTTTCTCTTGAGGGAACACAGTAGGACTAGAACTTGTCCTGCATGTTTCTGGTGGATTTGGATTGTGCCGGAAACATGGAATCTTGCCATCTTAGTCTACTTAAAAACATTTCTCTAAGGAATCCCTCTCTTGCTGTTGGTTAAATTCTGATTCCTAATGAAAGGTACAGCTAGGGTGAATGTTCCTGTCTCCATGAAATGGGTTACTGCAGCCTTCAATGTGCCTTTGGGGATGTTTAGATAAGCCTCCCAAAATTCCCTTCAGGTGTTACAGTGACTTGTGGAATAACCCTAAAGCTCCTGCTGTGAGAGCTGCGTCAGGAACTCTGGAATCCCACAATGCACTAGTACAGGGGTCGGTAACGTTCGGCACGCGTCTCGCCAGGGTAAGCACCCTGGCGGGCTGGGCCAGTTTTATTTACCTGCTGACGCGGCAGGTTCGGCCAATCGCGGCCCCCACTGGCCGCGGTTTGCCGTCCCGGGCCAATGGGGGCGAACGTTGCCGACCCCAGCACTAGTACAACAGATGGAATGAATTGCTGGTGAGGATGCAGTACAAGTGTGATTCC